ATATATATATATATAATTATATTATACTATACACATGCACTGCCTGTCCCAAAAAAAAAGTCACACACTGTAATATTTAGTTGGACCGCCTTTTGCTTTGATTAGGGCATGCATTCACCATGGCATCGTTTCGATAAGCTTGTACAATATCACAAAATGTCTTCTCCAGCACATCCCAAAGATTCTCCATGGGGTTCAGGTCTGGACTCTGTGGTGGCCAATCCATGTGTGGAAGTAATGTCTCATGCTGAATCCTGGCATTGTCATCTTGGAATATGCCCGTGACATCAGGGAAGAAAAGATCCACTGATGGATAAACCTCGTCATTCAGTACGATCAGGTAGGCAGCTGACCTAGTTTTTTGGCCACATACCATTGTTGAACCTAGACCTATTATCCAGGAAAAAGCTCAGACCAATCTGCTTAGCTAAATCTAGGCCATGACTTTTTCTTTTTGACAGGCAGTGTGTATAGATTTTATATATGTGTGATACTTGGAAAAGACGCTAGCGACCTGAGAAGTGTGCTTCATAATTCAGGCTGTGAAGTAGTTAACGAAGCAGCAGGCGAGTGGATTATCTTGCATAGATTTTTTTTAATTTGCTGGAAATGTGTGTACAACGTTAATGTTTACTTTCTACATAAGAAAATTACCTTTCACTTTATACTGCAATTTTCTGAAATTGTCAAAAATTTTAAACGTTGCTTCCTTGTATTCTACATTCCCAAGGGTGGTCTGTATATTTTATTCAATTTAGCACAAAAAAGTAATTTCCTGCTGTATGATTGGCTCCCCGGTTTCCACCAAACGCCTATATATGTGTGTGCGCGCGCACGCACGCACGCACACACGCACGCACACACGCACGCACACACGCACACACACACACACCTTATAACCTCTTACCGGTGGACATAAGGATAACACAGAAATACAATTGTGGTCCAGACTCCAGCCACATGCCTTGAACAAGGGCTGTCTTCCATATTGATAAGTATGATTGAAGGTAAGCTACTAAAATGCGCATTTTATCACTGGTCTGCGGTGATGTCACACAATAGCAGAGATTTTGGGTCTCTCTGCAGCGCCAGTTGGTACAAAAATGTAAGTACACCTATCATGAGAGAAACATGGGGACTGCCATTCTGAAAATGTTAGCGGCATGGCTTTAATAACCAAGAAGCATGAGGGGGGGGGAGAAAAGAAATATATAAATAATTAAAGGTAGATCAATAGACATTTCTTTGCACTTTTATAATTAAAGGTATGATATTTAAGTTTTATAACCTTTTTCATGGAAAGGTACTGGAGCGATAGTGAATTGGGTGAGAGTTAATTATGTGTGTAATAATTAGGAGGGATACAAATGTAACTTAATGGTTCGTTTTTGTTTTTTTTCTCCTACTTTATCTTTTTCTCACCCAATATGTGTAAGGATATGTGAATTGGGATTGTGTTTATTGATGTATATTATTATGAAAAAACGAATAAAGTTTTATTATACAATAACCAAGAAGCATGCAGCCTATTAAAATTACTCAACTTATTAAAACCAAAGGAAGGGTCCGAATGAGAGCCAGGGATTTAGAATACCTAGAAAACGAGGTCAGCAATGGCAGCTTACATTTATCTCCTATGGCAGGTTTCCTTTAAATAACATGTTTCTTTTGCTCTGACACTTGGGGCTTGTACATACTAATTTGCATGCATCTCTCTTTCTTCCTTCCCGATATCACTCACACCTCCAGGACTTTTCTAATGCTGCTCTTCTCTGGACTCCCTTCTGTGTTCCTTTAGGCATTCACTACTCCTCTGTGTTTTGTAAACAGACACTAAAACCATATATTTTCTGTTAGGCAGATACATTCACAGCAACTTTCTCTCACCAAATATTTCCTGATCTATGCCATCTACAGTGTTATGTAGCTACTGATGCCACATCCACAATCCATTCATATTTTCTCATTGGTTTCTTCTCATTCCTTTTATTTCAGGTGTTGGTTATTGTTATATTGCTATAGTCCCTCTATTCCCTCACCTTGTGCACTATGGATGCATTGTATGTTAGCACATTATAAGCTAATAAGTAAAAGCAGTGTCGGATTATGCATGGGACAGCTACTGAAGTCAACTCAACTCAGAGCACCATGATTTCCATATCTTAAGTGACGGTTTGTTTTTACCCTGATTGTGTAGTGATTCCATGCCGGTTTAGTGATTTCCTGGATAGTTCTGCTCTCGCTGTACTTCCAGCCTGCCGCTGACATAAGTGCTGCAGATCTGATAGACATCCCTGCTGGTGTCGTGTCTCCGCTCTTGTCTACATTTGGCCATTAACAAAATGCATGGTCACATCATCATCACAGGAGTTCTGTGAATGGCCAATCAAAGATAGAGGGGAGACATGACACCATCAGCATAAGGTATGACTGCTGTCTATCAGACCTTAAGTGCTGATGGCAGCGGCATGCTGGAAATTATTCTATCTACCTATCTATCTACCTACACACAAACACCAAGCAGTTTGAAGAAAGCCTGCATAGAAAAACTACACAGTTGAAATAAAACACATACCTACACATCATAAGCTATGGAAATATTGGTGCACTGATTTGGGCTTTGACATGTTTTAAATTATGTTGGAACCATGCAGAGTGATTGCTGATTTTTGGTTACCACATGCGTGTACCAATCCTTTGGGCTTAATACGCCAAGTGACTCCAGGATGTTCTGCGGAAAATAATGTCCCAATCAACACCTGGGATTAGCCTAAAACAGAACCAGTCACCAATGGGCATTTGTAAAATTTGGAATCTTCACTTTGAAGTTGTATATTACAGCTTTGCCTCTCAGGGATTACTGGATTCTATTATTTTTTATTATTAGTTTACTAATATGTGTTTTTACTGCATCAGTACACAAGTATTAGGCTATAAAAAGCAAAAAGAATAGGCTGCACTCAAAAATATCCCAAGCACAGATGGACGTATTGTTCAGGTGTACAACATGCACCCCCTCCCTATAAGATGTTAGGCCATCCTATGGAATGGCTGAGTTCAGTGCTGATAATATACACTACAAAACTATGATAACAATGGTTCCCTCAGGATTACATTTAAAAAAAACCCAAACAAACAAAAACACCTTTATTAATTGACATTTTCCCTCCCGGGCAGGGTCATACTTGAGCTCAGGCTGGAAAAAGGACAGGAAAAGAATACAAGATCAGTACAAACACTTCTACACCAAAGAGGCATGTCTGCACTTTTATACCAACTTAAGGCTTAGTTCACACCAGAAACTGCATCACAACTGTGTGCGCAGTTGCACCGCAATCTGTTTTGATGCGTTTGTGATGCTTTTTTTCCCCCTGGATGATGCCACAATCAATTCTGTTTTGTTTTTTTTGTATGCAGTCCGTTGCGGGGTTTTTTTTATGCGTTTTGATGCGTTTAGTGCAGTTAGATGCAGGTAGAGTAGGGCAAGCAGTACTTTTTCTGAATGCAGTTGAACTGACTGCAATGGTGTGAATTAGGCACAAGAAAGCCCACAGGAACGCATTGGGATGTATTTTGACTGCAGCAGTCAAAATAAACGGACAGCATCACAACTGCATCTTGTGTGAACTGGCCCTAAGAGTGGTGATTCAGATTCTTCCATGTGCCTATTTCAGACTGGTTCTCTTTAAACCAACAGCTATCATTTCTCCCTGATGACAACACACCTCTTACCTCTTTCATGATCTTTGCTCCTTTTTTGTCGCTGAATTCCAGCTGAGCAATAGCTTGGTCTATAGACATCCCTTTGATCTATAAGAGGGACAAAAGGGTTAATCTTACACCATCATGTGACCCATCTGTTATTATTTCTCAGCTCGACAGGCCCCGCAGGGCTGTGCAGCTTCCTCCATAAAAAGACATTCTATGAGAATACAGAATCATTTACATATCTCCAACCGCCATCTAGATGAATTAACAACTTGCTGCTTTTTCACTTTGATGACCAAGAAACTCATTTTACAGACGTCTGTTTGCGGTTCCAGTCAAACTTCTGGATTTGGGGAATTAATCACGAGGAACCGGCAAAGATTTAATTTACAAAATGCTGCTTAACAGAATTAATTAAACAGCTCGTGCTATTTTACAGGCAGAGCCTTGGTGAAAGAATGGGACTTTCAAGCAGCTGCCGTCAGTGTTATGGCACAGAGACCGCCTGATGCCTACAAAAGACGGTAGCTACGCAAATCTGGCAGTGAAGGGGTTAACGAAACAGCGACAACAATTACCCTGAAAGCAGCAGAAGAAGAATACATCATGTCGCGTAGGTTTTGTGTTGGAAATGTGTGTACAAACGTCTACTTTCTACATAGGAAGACTACCTTTCACTTTAAATTGCAGATGCCGCAATTTTCTAAAATTGTCAAACGTTGCTTCCTTGTATTCTACAATCCCAAGGGTGGTCTGTATATTTTATTCCGAATTAGCACAAAAAGTAATCCCCGGCTTGTATGATTGGCTCCTTGTTTTCCCCCAAACGCCTACACTGAGATATCAAATTATAGGCATCCCCTGTGGAATTACATCTTTAAGACTCATCTACTTCTAAAGGAATGCTGATGCTGCAGACTCGTTACAACACTGAGATTGCCCAGGTGGTTAAAATGAAGGCTGACCTTGCCATTCAGAAGTCAGTTTCAGAAAGGACTTGGTGAAACAAACAGCAGAAAAATGCATGCATTTGGGAAGAGGCTTGCTAAATTCCATGCAATGTATATCCAGTAGTTCACCTAAAGGAGATTTGACTATTCTAAACTGGAGTTAGACCAAGGGACATCAGACAAAACTTTTTTTCTAGTTTTGCTTAGGGTAGAGGATTATTATTATTATACAGGATTCATAGAGCGCCAACAGTTTGCGCAGCGCTTTACAATATAAGGAAGACATTACAATACAATTCAAGACAGGATTGTAAGGAGGGCCCTGCCCGTGAGGGCTTACAATCTAAAAGGGAGGGGCAAGTGATACATGAGGAGGTAGCTGTGCGGGGATAAATTGTTTGAGAAATTGATATTTCAGTGGTTAGGTTGAGGTCGGATAAGCTTCGCTAAAGAGATGAGTCTTAAGGGATCGCCTAAAAACAGTCAGAGTAGGAGATAGACGGACAGGTTGGGGTAAAGAGTTCCACAGAATGGGGGAGACTCTAGTGAAGTCCTGGATGTGAGCATGGGAGGAGTTGACAAGGGAGCTAGAAAACAGGAGGTCTTGGGAGGAGCGTAGGGGACGGTTAGGATGATTGAAACCCCATTTAGGCTGCATGTACACCAAAGCGACACCTATTACACGTGTCCTACGCATGTTTTTGTGGGCAGATTGTGGGATAGTGAGTCGATTGCAAATAGATTGTGGCATATTCATTCACATGGGCAAAACGCACTGTTTTAATGCGCGTTTTTCAAATGTTTTCTATTGAGTCAATGGAGAGAAAACGCATTGAATCTGCTCCAAAGTAGCTCAAGTAGAATTTTGTGCGTCAGGCGTACTTCCGCTTGTGGCAAAATGCCGAGGTGTGAACAGGGGCCATAGAACTGAATGGGATTTTTTGGGGTCGAGCGTTTTGTCGCGCAACAATACGCTTAGGTGTGAATGGAGCCTTAGGCCTGGTTCACACTGAGAGGGGAATTTATCCAAACTGGAGCACACAAAATCTGGAGCAGTTGCCCAGGGCAACCAATCAGCTTCTCTGTTCAGTTGAGATTTGAAAATGAAAGAGAGAAGCTGATTGGTTGCCGTGTACAGCTGCTCCAAATTTTGTCTGCTCCAGTTTTGATAAATTCCCCTCATAGTGTATTGTCGCAGCAGATTCAGCCTGACCAAAACCTTCACCTAAAAAATCTGGCCCCTGTGCACACCTAAGTGTTGTGTCGCAATAAGCAAAATGCCTGTCGCCGGAAAACGTACATGAGCTTCTTTCTGGCTAAAACCAGCTCGTTTTGGTCCCATATACTCAATAGGAAACACTTGAAAAAGCACGTTGCAATTAGTTTTGCGCGCTCTGTCTAGCATCTCAGCTAACAACTATTTTTATAATCGATTAGTTAGCCAATTACTAACTACGACTAACGGGATAAAACATTTTTTTAATACCGTCATTTATTTAAAATAAAATATACAAATACAAAGCTTATTTCAAAATAAAACGGTATGCAAATTTTTTGAAATCGTACTGCAGTGGAATGCAGGGCATTGCAGTGCCGTGCGTTCCAGTGCGGGTGATCACACTGCAGACGGGAGGTGCATTTGAAAGCCATTGAAATGAATGGCACCGCAACGCACCTCCTGCAGCAAAATTTGTCAAGCCGAAACGGAACTGCAGCCGTGTTCTTGGTACTGTTTTAAACAGTAGGCGATTGCTGTTTAAATACAACCGATCAGACATATGTACAGGCGCCGGATCGCTTGTACGGTACGGCCGCTTGTCCGTCCCCACCCTCCGCGGCTTCACCGTCGGCTTCCTGGGCTCATCTGTCTCTCGTGTGAGCCTGGGACCAGCATGGAGGGTCTCCCCTGATAGATCGGAGGAGCGATTAGTGGCTTCCAGCAGCTGAGCTCTCCTCCGTTCACTGGACCCGGAAGTGATGTACATTACATCACTTCCAGTGTCACTGGGCACAGTCTCTGGCTCCTAGAGCCAGAAGAAGAAGCAGATCCCTGCTTCATCAGCTTCTTTGGGGTCCCTAGGTGATATCAGGGGTCTGAAAGACCTCTGATGTCTCCATAAAGAGGACCTGTCACATTTTATTTGCTATTACATAGGGGGCTTGTTAGCCCTCTATGCAATAGCAATAAAGCTGAGTGTTAAAAAAAAATTGTAGAAATTAAAAGTAACATAAAAAAAAAAGTTTTAAAAGCAAAAAAAAGAAAAAATTCAAATTCCGCGCCCTCACATACAACGCAAGCACGTGTAGGATGCGCCTAAGTACAAAAACAGAAAATTGTGCCACACGTTACATATTGTTGCGAACTTCGGTGTGAGAGCAATAATTCTAGGCCCATCAATCACTGTTAGCACTAAACTGATGAGCCGTAAAAGCTTTTAAAGCGTTGCCTTTGGGAAATTTTGGTTATTGTAGTTTTTTGCGGTTTCACAGATGCACGCAATTTTAAGGCTTGACATGTTTGGTACCTATTTACCTAGTGTGACCCCGTCTTTTATATTTTACCAAAAATTAGACATTATATTCTGTTTCTGTGCACAAAATTTCATTTTAGTGTATTTTATCCTAAAAATACTTGTTTGATAAACATTTGTGCAAATACCGTGGGACATAAAAAATTGCAACTAGCATCTTTTTTTATTCTACAGTGCCTCTGCTTTTAGAAAATATATCATTGTTTGGGGGGGTCTTAAGCTGTTTTCTAGCCAAAACTCAGATTTTATCATGTATGTGCAAATGTAAGAAATTGCTCCAGGCAGCAAGTAGTTAAAATAACACACCAAAAAAATGTTTTTTCTATTTTTAATTTTTGCTTATTTAATTTTATTGTTTGTTTGCATTTCTAATTTTTATTTAATCTTTATTTTTTCACTTTTTAAAATGTTTTAGTCTTTTTAATTTTAGTTTGTTTAACTTTATTTTTTTAAACTTTTTTTTTTAACTTTAATGCTGGGAGCAATAGGCAGCCTGCTATTGGATATTTCAAATTGCAATAGCAGGCTGGCTATTGCACCTGCCCACTGCCTGCTTTCAATCAGAGGAGGGACCTGAAGGAGAAAGTTCTCCATCAGGTCTTCCTCTACTGATAGACAACAGGCAGTGGGCGGGTGCAATAGCTGGCCTGTTATTGGCTAGCAGGATGGGTATGGCTACCAGCCTCTAGATGCAGAGGAGGATCGGGGCAGCAGCGGAGGCATAGGGGGGCAGGGCAGAGGAGGAACGGGGCGGCAGCATTCTCTCCTTCCCACTGGTGCCGGCTGCAGTGGTCTGTGTCCCCTCCGCCTCTGCCCATACAGGCGGGGAGAACATCAGTGATCGAAATGGACACAGACCCCTGCAGCCCGAACCAGCTGGGGGGGGAAAAGATGAGCAGAGCGGCGGCAACTAATCATAAAGCAACTAATCAATGCTAAGAATTGTTGTCAACGATTCTCATTACCGATTAGTTGTTGCAGCCCTAGTTTTGTCTATTGACTTAAATGTATCACAATCTGCTAATTAAAATATGCGCACGTTAAACCGCTAACACTTAGGTGTGAATCCGGCCTTAGGCTTTTATTATCTCACCACTCACTTCCTGTGTGGATCACTGGGACAAAAAAGATGGAAGCCTTTCCAAATGTATCTATCTGCAACATCCCTCACCTTGTCACAAGTACATCTCTGCTTTTCATGGGAAGTTTTGCTTAACTGTATTTGTGATAGGCAAATGGGGCATATTAGACCACTGGAGATAGACTGCAGGCTTCAACTACAGCTGAAATGTAGGATGGCTAAATTATAATAGTAACCATAGTAATAGCCCTATACCAAAATGAGCATTTAAAGCTTGTAGTCAGGGGGTTGTATCTTTATTGGCAAGCGTCTAGTCTGTGTTTAATGACATGTGGTACCCAGATTTTTCCTCTGTTTCGGTGTTTCTAGCCCATTTGTTTATAACACAGACGTGTTTCAATAAGTGACTTGTGCTCCACTATTAGAGAAAGGAGTATTTTAGCAATGGAGTGCTGTTTAGTGGTTAACTATGACTAAGGCCCTGTTGGGCAAAAACGTGTTTAGTGTTTCACAGATTTGTATGGATGTTTTATTAATAGGAGACGTTTCAGAAGAGAACTGAGAGTTCTGGTATGTCTTTTCTATAACTAAGATAATAAGGTAATTTGGAATATTTAATAAGCAAGCCTGCAGAACTGTAACAATTCAAAGCAGAAGATGCATCAAAATGGAAGTTCCACTTATTGTTTAAATCCCCCCCCCC